TGGGCGTAAAAATGCCTACATTAAACATTTAGAGCTGAAGTTATGAGTGTCTTCTGGTTTTAGAAGAAAATATAAGACATGTTCTCAAAATGACCGATCGCTGCAGCACGGCGAAAATTTTGATAAAGTAACTCAGTTTTTCTGCTAGGACGTTGTTCTCTTCTCAACGGGGGCTATTCTTTACATGCAGGGGCAAAACCCGCCTCCTGAATTGTTTAAATTGAGTAGATTTTGGTGTGGGGGTAGGGCGTAAAAACGCCTACAGTAAATATTAAGAGCTGGAGTTATGAGTTCCTTCTGGATTTAGACAAAAGTAGAAGACACATTCTCCTGTTCTCAAAATTTTAATGCTCCGTCACTGCACGATAAATAGGTAGGGTGGCCGGGGGGTTGAGAGGCATGATGGGAGGGTAGAGGGTCAACAATAGCTTTTCATCCCCACTTTCATTGTTTTTCGCATCATTTAGGATTGAAAGTGTAACCACTAAATATGTCTACATGCGTGAATCACAAGCTCATAATTCACAAAACATCACCAACAACAACACAAAGCAAAATACAAAAACAAAACAAGCAAAAGAACAAAAAACTACTTTATCTTGACAGAAAAACACTAGAAGACACAACAGACTACCCTTGACAGACTGTTAATAATAGCTTTTACTCTTATCTATGTGTGTATTTTGTCAGTTGAATTAAGGTGGAACGTCGATCAAGTCCGAGAAGAAAAAGCAAACGCTATTTTCAGGAGGAATTGTAATGAAATAGACCTCCAACCCAACTCTCTTCAAAGATCGAGAGTTCTGAAAGTAAAACGGTTCTAAGTGCTGTGCCCATGATGTTTTTAGAATTTCACCCCCCCCCCAAAAAAAAACCCCCAACAACAACAACCCCAAACAAAACAAACAAACAAACAGAAAAAAACAACATGGAAATAAAAAAACAAAACAAAACAAAAACAAAAACCCATGTCTAACATAATGCCTCATCAAACGCATTAATAACATTCTTTGTCATGATAATGGGACAGATTTCACATCTGAGCGCAATTTAAAAAAAAAAATCAGAGTTCATTGCTTAAAAGTATGCTGTAAATTATGCATACAGATTGGGGAAATAAAATGAGTATGAAGAAAACCGCTGACGGTATACACAGGCTGAAGTAAAGCTGTATTCTAACAATAATTAGAGTGAAGCGGGCACTCTTGCTGTGGGGCTAAAGCAGCAGTGAACGTAAATAACTAC